GGTGCCGCCGCCGGGTGGGTGCATCCCCCTGCAGAGCCTCGCCGTGCGGCCCGCGCTGAGCCGGGCAGGTGAGCCCCCCCTCCCCTCGTCATCCTCTGCCCCGCCCGAGGCTCGGAGTGCCCAGCGCGAGCAGGGGGCAAATTTAGGTCTGAACTCAGGTTTTGGGCCAGGATTAGGTTTAGCACCTCTCGCTCCCGGCCTACAGGACCGGGCCGAGCTCGGCTGCCAGCTCTGGGGAAAACGTGAAGCTTTTCCAGCAGGGAAACGCTCCTGTGGGCCGGAGCATCCCCCCCCCGGTGGAAGGAGCCCCCTTCCCGCCCCACGAGCGCCGCAGACGCGGAGTTTGGCCCCGCCGCAGCCATCGCAATCCCGTCCCTTGGCCGGATCCCCCCCCGGCACCCCCATCCCTGCGGAGGGTCCCGGGCGCGGCTCCAGGCGATCCCGGGGGTCCGCTTTTAATTCCCCGGTGCCGACCCCCCGGTCCAACGCCGCACGTGGAGGCCCGCTGCGGCTCCAACGTCAACTGGAAGGCGACCCGTATTAACTAAACAGGTTTATAATAATTTAAGTATTCATAGGGTGCAGGACAATAAGTAGTGGGAAATACAATTTGCATAATAAATATCAATATCACAACAGCCAAAATAAACCGTGACAAATTATCTGCTGCTAAATGACCAGGAGATTATACAATGCAAATTGCAAATCCTGAACTCTAGGAAATGACTCCCCTCACCTCCTCCGCCTCCTTCGGCAGACAAAAAGGGACTCGGGATGCACTAAAACTGGCCACGCTCCCGCTGGAAGCATCTTACTGTGTTCCATTACGCATCAACTTTGATTTCAAGAGGGAAAACGATTTCCTCTGTCCCGGAAGCTTTACCCTCAGATTATTTGTCACAGCGTGTTCAGCAGTTGCGACACGGACGCGCGAGCCCCGCCGGCAGCGACTGAAAGCTGGATTAAATCGAGTCACGGGCGGCCAGGGACGGCGGCGGCCACGGGAGCGGCGCCAGGGACGCGGGAAGGGCTGAGCAAGGCTGACCCGACCCACGGGCACGGCCGATGTGGCCGCGGGCACTGTGTGACAATGTGTCCTGCCGATGAGTGGCCGCTCACTGCGGGGGCTCGCTCAGACCTGGCCCTCCAGGGAGGGTGGCGGGAGATGCCGGAAAACCATTGTGCGCCTGCGCTGGAGGCAACACTGGGGGCACGCGCGGCCCTCGAAGAGCCAGTGGGCCACTGACACCCACCAACCTCCCGCCGGGATCGGCACCAGGGAGAGGAGAGGAGCCTGTGGCGGGGGAGCACTGGCGGGACGTGGGGCCGTGCTCCGGCCTCGCCCAGCACCCCGGGACCCGGCGTGCCCCAGGCCCGCGAGCGGCGGAGTTAGAGGCGCCCACAGGAAAGATCAAATTGCCTCGTCTGCTCTGCGAGGGGCTCCGAGCAGCGGGGGGGCCTCCCCGCAGCCACGCGCGGGGACCCTCCAGGTGCGCTGTTCCCGCTCCCCCCTGCCCCAGTGTCGCCCACCTCAGAGACCAGATGGCAGGTTTGCCTTTTCAAGCCAATAATCAATCGTGAATTCAGCTTTTCAGTCAGGAGCAGAACTTAAAAATGAGAACTCCAACCTGTGGCTTCCTTCCAGAGAGGAAGCCAGCGCTGACAGAGGAGGGCACGCGAAGGCGGCTGAAGGCAGTTTGTACCGTACCCGCCGCAGCCCTGGCCTTGGGACGGCGCGTCGGGATGCGCCACGGACCGGCCCTCGGCACGCCGAGCCACCACGGCGGGTGCTGATGCCCCAGGGCAGAGGTTGGGCCAGTCCCGGCCCAAATCAGTGCCCGTCCCGCTGCTGCCACCGCGGGCAACGGCCTCAGCGTGCCCCGGCCTGTGGCTCACGTTAAGTGACTGCCGTTAAGGGCGTGCGCTGCAGAAGAAGTCACGGGAGAAGCTGTTTTCCGATGCGTTTTTACCAAACCAACGGTCAATGACCTTTCCTTAGTTTCACAAGGACGGGCAAAGGGAACTGAGGTTTCTCGCTGGCCACAACGTCTTTCCAGCGAGCCCCTGGCCCTGCTGTTCCTTCCCTACGGGAGCCGAAGAAGGGAGAGAGAACCTAAAGCGGCCCACGTCTCTGCCAGAAAAGGACGAGAGCGCAGAAGGCGTTTCGCTTGCGCAGGTACTGCGGGACTTGCCATTTCTTACGCAGCTCTTTGAGCCTCAAAGGTGCCATAGAGACAGAGACCAAAAAGATTCCTCCGCGAATGGCAGTGTTTGTTCGTTCTACATCTTCTGTCAAGAGAAATAAAACAGTTGTCGATCTTGGGGAAAGCGCCGGCTCTGAAATTTTCAAAGCACTGCATGCAATTTTAGCCACACAATTCACGGTAAAGCCAGCATGGGGCTAAATCCTGTGTAACTCTTTGAAAATGGGGGAGTTTGTCAAAAGGAATCCGGAGAAGGAATAATCAAGTTATAGCATTTCAGATTTAACGGCTCGCCTGAAAGACACTTCAGCGCTTGCCGGGCGGGTGCCGTCCCCCAGCCCGCAGGGCTCCCCCCGGCAGCGCCCGCGCCGAGCATCGCC